CTCTTTATTGAACAAAACTGGGGTGGGGGGAATGAAACTGAGGTGAGACTGAGGAAAGACGGTGGGAGGAGGGAAGGTGGGAGAGGGAAGGGGGAAACCTGGGATGAGGGAGCCAGCAGGGGGAGGCAAGGGGAGGAAGGGGGAGGAGAAGCTCAGGGCTCGGGGTTGGAGGTCTCGCCGGCCCAACTGTCTCCCAGCACCATATGGGGAGGGTGTGGAGGAAGAAGTGGGAGGGGGAGAAGGAGTGGGAAGAGGAGCGGGTTTGCAGGTGGTCACAGATGGCATGGCCCTGGGCAAGCCAGAGCTGCAGGTCTTCTTGCACCCAGTGGTCAAGGGTGCAGTGCAGGGCTAGCAGTGTCCCCAGGTGCTCCTGCTGGTACCCCTTCACTGCACGGGTGGGCCTGCGGAGTCCTCGGGTGAGGGAGGGTGTCCCGGGTGGGGTGGTGAACCCTGCACTTGCAGCTGGTGCAGCTGTGGAGAAACAAGAGAAGTGGTCAGTTCTCCCTGGGGGGACAGTGGGTGAAACCCAGACACCCTGTGCAAGGCAAGGATGACTGTTCTCCACACCATCAGAGCCAATGTGCTTGCACAGAGGCCATGTTCAGGATGTCTTGCTATCCCTGGGTGTGGGAGCTACCCCGGGACTGCACCCATGCCCCTGTGCTGTATATAGTGTGTGTGTGTGTGTGGGGGGGGGGAGATGTCCCCTGCCTCTGTGTAGAGGGGACTTGTGGAGGGAGGGCGTCCTGCTGTGTCCCACCCCAGGGTCAGGAGCATGACATGTCTCTCCACACACGCGTGTGGTTAACAGACCAAGGCCCCTGTGTAGCAGTCAGCTAGGGCCATGTGCCCAGGGGTGGCATGGCATGTGCTCACATGTGCACAGGTTGCTGTGTGATCCGTGGTCAGCAAGGCCCACGCGTGCGGTCCCTGGTCTCCCTTCCCCCTTCTTTCCCCGTAAGGGGATAGTGATGGCACTCACATGTTGTTGCCTCCCGGATGACACTGGCGACAAGTCCGCTGGGATGGCTCGGGGGTCCTGGCTGCACGGCACACTCCCTCCAGGCTCCTGCGGCCCCTGGCCCTCCTCCGTGCCCTGGTCAGGGCCTTCTGCCCCAGGGTCGATGACCATCTGGGGGGCACAGACCATCCCACCACCCTGGATGCTGTCCAGGGCATCAAAATAGGGGCAGCTCTCTGGGTCTGCCCCTGTTTGGGAGCTGCCCTCTATGGCCCTGGCATAGGCCTGCCGCAACTCCTAACTTTCATCTGAACCTGCTCCTGGGTTCGGATGTGGCCTTTGGTGGCCAGGCTGGCAGTTATCCTGCAGTAGATGGACGCGTTCCTCCATCTAGTGCGGAGATCATGGACGTTGGAGGCATCCCCACAAACCTCAATCAAGTCCATGATCTCTGCACTGGACCAGGCAGGTGCCCACCTTCTCCGGCCCCTGGAAGGCTCCTGGGAGCTGGGGAACTGGTCTTAGGGAGCGGTGGAGGGCTGGCTGGCACTGGCTGTGACTCATGCTGGGCCACTGGGTCAGGGCAGCGACTGCTGGCTCTGGGCTGGCAGGCCTGGAGCTGGCACAGGCACTGTGGCCAGACTCTACCATTTTAAGGGCTCCGGGGAAGGGGGGAGGAGAGGAGTTTTCCTGGTTGGGGCCAGGGTGGCCAGCAGGGCACTATGGGAAGGGCTGGAGGCCCCCTATTTCGAAATAAGCATCTACACAGCGCTTATTTCAAAATAGCAGTTTCGAAATAGGCTCTATTCCTTGTGGAATGAGGTTTACCAATTTCGAAATAAGCCCTCCAGTATTTCGAATGAATTTCGAAATAGCGGTTGGCTTGTGTAGACGCTAGTACAGTTATTTCGAAATAACGGCTGTTATTCCAAAATAACTTTGCTGTGTAGACATACCCTAAGTTAGCTGTTTCCACATCAGAAAGAGATCTTGGAATCACCGGGGGTGTAATGTTCTGAAATCTTCTACTCCTTGTCCAGCAATAATCACAAAGGCTATTGGTACATTAAGAATCATTAGGAGAGGGATAGAAAACAAGGCAGAAAATCCCATTGTGTCACTATAGAAATCCATGGAATGCCTGCACCCGGAATAGTCTGTTCAGTTTTGGGTGACATCTCAAAAAGCAGACAGTGGAACAGGAAAAGATTCAGAGAAGGGCAGGTACTTGCTACTAGGGGTCCAAAGAGGCTCTCAAGAACTAACTGTTTAAAGAATTGTTATGAACTAAAAGAAAATATGAAATCACTGCTGGTGATTTCACGAGGAGTAACGGTAGTTCGGAATAGGACCCTAGTCCGAACTACCTAGTTTGAGCCCCGTGTAGCCGCGCTGCACGGGGTTCGAAGCAGCGGGGATTTAAAAATGGCAGCTCCCCACTTATGCATGTCTACACTACCCCGCTAGTTCGAACTAGCGGGGTAATGTATGCATACCGCACTTGCTAATGAAGCCCGAAAAATTCAAATCCCGGGCTTCATTAGCAAGTGCGGTATGCATACAT